CCTGAGGAATGATGCAGTCTTCCCTTCTCAATGACAAACTTGAGCTATCAGTGACACATTGGTGAATGATTGACAATTGACTACACAACATAAGTCATATAAGGACACCGGCCTTAGGCAGCATGGAAATAACAAAGTTCTCTACAAGGTTTGAGGTTGACATTCTCCACTTCAGGGTAATCTGTCCCCTGGAGATGAAACACTGATATACTTTTCTGGAATGACTTGCCTGTGGGTATGATAATCTCAAGGTAGAGTGGCCAGAAAAAAGGAAGTGTGGAAATGTCAGCAGTTGTTGTGGTTTGTGGAATCCCCAGGAACTGACAACGCAAGCATGTAACCTTGCATTCCGGAGGCACCAAACGGAAACACAAGTTTGCTAGTCTAAATGCACCTGTTGAAAGGTGTCTCTTTGCACAGGAATACAAGAATAATTTTGCAGGTGACCTACAGTAAGACACCATGCAGATGTATAATTTTGCCTCAGACACCATGCAGATGTATCTACTATTGATATATATATAAATATGTACATATAAATACATACATACATACATACATGTACATCTTATATATATACATGTATAAAGTGGGCAGCCAGCAACCACTTTCTTGCAGTCCCCATGGGGCATTTGTGATCATGACCTTATCCACAACCAAAATTGATGACAATGACTGGGGGCAAAGTCTGTACTTACTTGTATTTGGCTATGAGTCTATGTCTTCTGATGATGCATGAGTACCATATCCTTGAGGTTAGATGAGGTAAGCAGAGATGACAAATCACATCAGTGGCTAATTTATGGAATAGTCCCTATTGCGTTGAAGTCTGATATAAAATTACCACAATCACAGACATTAGATCCTCCCCATGCTGATTCTGAGAGATAAGGAACTGTGATAACTTGTTCAAAGTTGTTAAAGGATATCTGTTGAATGAAGTTTTCTACATACCAATACAGGTAAACTTTCATGTGTGCTGTTACCTTTCCTCCATTTCTCCAGTTATCTCATACAAAAGGGGTACATCTTTCATATCAAGTTTCATGTGCAATGTGCATTGAGGATACATCTGCATCATATAAATATTATAATTAAATTGAATGCTTCGTACACCAGTCAGGCCATTTATACTGTCAGCAAGAAAATACTATAAGGAGTCTCAGTACAAATACAAGAGTTTGGCTGTACATTAAAAATTTCACCAAAAACTGTACAATTACAAATCATGTCCTCAGTATAAATATATCATACTATACTCCACAGTCTTTTGTAGAGTAGTTTCCAAGAGCTGTTAACATTCTTGCGGCATATTGCATCATACACAATCATAGAGCAATAAGGTTGACATGTAATAAACATCAAAACAGACTTGTCCTGGGTCGCTGCTTTTACTTTTCGAACTTCCTTCTGTGACTGTTAAAAAGTTAATCTAGTCTGCAATCCTCCACAGATCAATAAAGGAGTAGAAAACACCCACGACGATAAGGAAAAGCTGGGTGCAGCACCATTTCATCATGTGCCTTCCCCACTGGGAAGTTTATTACTTCCTTCTCCTAACCAATGGGGAAGACTAATGAAGCAGATTTACAGGACAATTTGCAGCGATAAAAGCACACTTATCCTCTGTATGTTTTATTATTGATGGATTTGATGATCAAACTTCCCACTATGTATATATCATGGAGCTAAGATGCATAGCGTGGTGTTAAGTGAAGAAGAAACTTGCCAACTACATGTATATCCACAGAAGCAAACTTAGTTAGTTCACTTACTTAGTCTTCTCAAACTGTGATCAGAATTCAAAAGGACGTCAGAAGGAAATTCAGCTGGAAGCAAATTGATAAATCATATTACTTTGGAAGTAATCTTTGTATTTAATCCTGGACCAGTAGAACACTCGGAAGACGGTGAACAACAAACACAATACCGGATAGTGAGTGAGTGGGTGGGTGCTCTGGGTAGAGTTTGAATTGTATATCATGTGTATTGTTAACTTCATCAGCATATGTGTCATGCATTTCACATTGATACAATGTAATAAAAGAAGTTATTGATCTCTGATATTGTATTGATCACAAGTGGCCACAGGGCAAGTAGAAGTGTCTGCAGATGCCCTTGATGTTTTCTGTGCATCTCTAATGTGATCCCGGCTTCATGCATTCTGCATGCAGCAGGCTGAACTTGACATTGGAGGTTAGGGAATCAATGATGCACAGACAGTACATCACAGCAATACAGACGCTCTGATCCCGCAGAAATAAGTTACCTTGGTGTGACCTTTGGGCTGGAACGGCCGCGGACTCTTGGTTTAATCTTCATGCCGCAGTGGGTGAGTCAAGCGGCCGAGCGTGACCTATTACAGTCCACTACGCTCGACTGGTGTTACTTGGAATATAGCTATAAACTTTCCAGGTTTGAAACATGCAATAAAACTTTTATTGGTATGACATCAATCATTTAGTGATGACTTATTCTACTTACTGTATCTAAGATTAAAGAGAGAGAGAGAAGCACTGATACAGATACCAAGGCCAATACTGTTACCATGTCCAACTCCTACATAGTGTTACATGTAGGTTGATTTCTTTGTATATGACTCCTTCAGTGAGACCTAATCACCCAGTACACAAGATGATAATGTAATTCATATACTTCTTATTTCAGGCATCACTCGCCCCATATAAAGGAAACATGCATATGTTATCAACAATATTTCATTGTACACACTATACATAGGATAGATAAGCTTTGTAGCATTGTTGTTTAATACTTGTTGCCATATCGTACCATGTATGATTGTCGAGCAGCAAAGTTCATTCGTCCGTTCGTTCGTTCGTTCATTCATTCATTCATTCATTCATTCATTCATTCATTCATTCATTCATTCATTCATTCATTTATGATTTTGAGAACCAGTGAGAAAGTAGGGCAAGGGTTAGAAACAGTGTAAGTGCATCTTGATTTAGTAAATTCATTGTCAGTCTTCTGAAGTTAACCTCCCACTGAAGCATCCCCAATGGTACATGTACATGTATTAGTATTGAATATGGTTACATCAGTGGCCTTAAATATACGTGATAAATCTATATCCTATCCCACTATGGTACATGTACATATATCAGTACTGAATATGTCATCAGTCATTTGAAGTACAGGATGACATAAATCTATTTGTGCTTATGATCCACCGCACAGGAATATCCTCAATGGTGTTAGTATTGAGTGTTGCTGTATTGGTGGTCAGGCTTTTGAAGTATGGCATGACACAGATCTATATATCACAACTCACTAGAACATTCCCAATGGTATTAGCATTGATCGTTTGGTAGGATATCATGTACCTTTCATTCATTCAGTCCAATGTGGTTGGAACATCCCCAATATAGCATCTAGCATTGGATATGAGGGTATTGGTAATTGTAGCATTTTGTCAGAAGTCTATGTGTCCAATCCCACTACAGGTAACCTCAAGTTAGTAACCTCAAGTAGCACTGAATATTGGTGTGTTCGTTGTCAGCCTTCTGAGGGTGACAAATCTGTATGTCACAGCCCACTAGAACATCCCCAATGGCATTAGCATTGATCTTTTAGTGGGATATCATGTACCCTTCATTCATGTATTCATCAGTGAGGTATTGAATCTGAAAGCTGGCTGTATTCCCGTCTGACACTGCCAGGACCACCTGGGAAGATTGTCTGGACCTGGCAGTTATGACGTCCCGCAGCAGTCCAGGATACGGGAAGTACAAACTTATCGTTCATCCATCAGCAGCGTCGGATTAAAAAAAAGCGTCGCTGCAGGTGAGCGTGATGGATGGGGAAACTGTCCTTGATTTGACGTGCCCGCACCAATCCGATCGGCACCGCCTCCTCCGCCTGCTTCCTCATGTATGAAATTGATTTATTCGGAGCATTATCTCTGACCAGCCATGTCTGCCGCTCCATCAGGGCCCGGGCTAGCCTCCGTCCCGGCTCCTGCCACAGATCCATCACGGGGACAGGTGTGCCGTACCGCTGCAGCCGGACTTACACCTCATCCATCTAACCTGCCACAGCCACTTCACCCTGCCCGCCACTGACGCATTGTTACTGCTTAACTCTCGCTTTCCCAGGACGGCTGATGGATGAGAGGAACTGGCGAGGAGTCCTGGAGGTGCCGGCGAGCCTTCCTGTACATCACGATCGACCAGACACTCAGACAAAAGCCTCCGCCATCCCGGGAAGGGAGTCCCATAAAGACGAGAAGGTTTCCACCTTTCAAACAAACATTTACATTGACGGGGACGTTTGTCAGTGATGATGCATGGCGCTCAGCCACCCTGCGTTCATGGGCATGTGGTTTCCGCCGACTGCAGCAACTATTTCTGCTGATTTAATACAGCCATTACCAAACATACATCAATTAGACAGCATGCAAGGCATTATAAGGGGCCAGAGAACCCAATGGGCCATTACTTTAAATAATCTGATGGTGAGATAAGTGTAATTCATTTGGGGATTATCCGAGGGAGGATAAGGGAGCCGGGTCAATGTCCAATACCGTTAAGGGGAGCTGATTTCCACTTGAGCAGCGTGGCAGCATTAAGAACCCTTTGCTGACGGCGAGAGGAGAATTCATCACGCAGAGCCCACCCCTGGGTGCGGCTTTTATGGGTCCATTCATTACCCAGGTATTTTCTCAGCAGGTGACAAAGCCTAGGAAAATGGAGACGCTGATCACTATTTATTATGTGTTATTACTTCTGACAACACAGTCGCGATACGCCTCATATTTCTCTGCCTTCCGGCGGATACAAAGGGAGGTAACGGCTGGCTCTGGAAGTTTTTAGCAGCGCCGATGTCGCGGCGCTTGTAATTGATAATGTCTTTTGAATGGATACAGATGACTGTATTGATTACCAGTGAGTTGCCATTCGTTGCGACCCTGAAATGATATCGACGGGGCCTGAGAGCCGTTTTACACATGCTAAGCCCAACGTAGCATCATAGGTGCTGACTCAGAGACGTGGGCTTATAGGTGTCTGCATGGTCTGGGGTACACATCAATAAATCATGATCACCATGGCCAATAGAGTTGGCAAGTCTTAAACTTATCAAGTTGCTAATAACATCTAACATGTTAGGAAGTGGCAAGGTGGTCTTGAAGTTAGGGTTGTTGATTTAGAATCTGAGGTGCTAGGTTTGAATGCTTGGCAGGCCCCAGTGTTGTGCCATTGGGAAAGGTATTTCACTTATTTCTCACAGTACAGTCAAACCTGGCACCACCTGAAGTCACCTTTGTACAAGGACCATGTGACCATTGTGGTCCCATAGATTTTTTTCTCCCAAACATTAAGAATCCTATCTACCATCAGTCAACTCAGACCATTTTCTCTTCTAGCCACTCAGGTGACCTATATATAGACAGGTGTGAGTTTACTTATAGACAGGCATGAGTTTATTCTATTCTCACCTGTTTACTGACGTGTGCTGACTCCCCAGCCTCCCTGCTGCTGGCTCCACAGGTAGATGGTACGATCTTGGAGGTGAAGGTGACCTTGGTCGGATTGTGCTGGCTTCAAGACCATCATGACTGGACAAGATCTCATTCAGGATGCTTCGTCCTACATGAACGGGGGAGAAAAATGTAACCTTTACTTCTTGAGGACTTACTGGATGATGGAGATACTGATAGTAAATGAAATTCTTCTGTAACAGTAGAAAAGTATCTGTTATACTTGTGTGTCCTTAAAGGAGTACTAACCTCCAGAAAGAAGTGCTATTTTCCGATACATCATGCTGCAATGAATACATAACTAGCCGACTTTTTACATAATTTCGCTTGTACGACTTGCGCAGCGCATGTTTGTAAAGTGATATTAATATCATTTTCCCCCATGCTGAACCACAATTATATTGATACATCCGGGAACTCTGGCTTACGCAATACTCATACACTTCAGGTCAACATACACATTTTTCGGCGAAAATGGTAGGAGACAAGCACACGAACAAGCTGATTATTGAAAAATTACTTGCTTTACTTTGCTTGACCTGTGGCTTGGATATTATAATATCAGGATGTCGAATACAGTGGGAGCCAGTTTCATCCTGCGTGTTTTGATTTTCTCAACTTATTTGCATGTAAGTATTAATTAAACAGATACTTAGATTACGCTACTTATGGAAAGGATAACTAGATTACGCCATTTTTTTTATCGTCAATATTTGCGGCATAAATGAGGGGTGATAAGGACATCAAGGAGGGCAATGGTTGGTAAGATACCAAAGAACACAAAACGGTACGAATTTTTCTTATCGCCCCCAAAATGAGGTCTGTAACGTAACTTTTTGTTTAAAATATAGACACCAATGGGGTAGCGTGGTGTATTCTGGGATAGTTTTGAAGGTATTTGGAGAGTTTGTCCTGGATTCGATGCATTTTATGACTTGCGCGCAAAATGGGCATTTAATTGTATACTGTAAAATAATATGCATTTTTCACTTCCAAAAATAAATGCCTGTCGAAATATAGCACCCCCTTCTGGAGGTTAGTACTCCTTTAACCTTATACAGATGTTATTTTCACATGTTTAAAAAGAAAGCTATACTAGAAATATAAGGATTTTGCATATTAAATCTTTCCAAGGCTATGCAGAAGTTGAGACCTGCATGCCTAAATACATTTGTATCTTTGTGCACCCTACATGCTGGGTGAAACCTGATTGGTCAGAAGTCTGGAAACGGGACTGTTGTCACAGGGAAAGTAATGCAAGTCTTAAATGGGATCTGTTATTGGGCACATTTTCCGACCACTTTGTCTGTCCTCCTTGATTGATTTCTGGTAATAGCGTGAGCTGCTCGGCCGCTCTGTGTGCTGGACCTGCGGGGCGATTAGCAGCGGCGGATCGCTGGGAGGCACGATCAATCACATTCACTCATCAGGCCAGGCTGTCCGTCATCCATCACAAACCTCATCTCACAAGGAGTCGCAATCCAAGGAGATGGGGACATGAAAGGGAAAGTGTCTGAACACCTCAGAAGACATTCTTAGACAAACATTACCAACACGGGGTATCGCAATCAAAGGAGATGAGGCCATAAATGGAAAAGTGGAGTTTAAACAAGTCATGAGGCAATTCTCTGACAAACATTACTAACATCTCAACATCCAGGACTACCAGTATGATCCTGCAACATCGATATATGGAAATGCATATCTTCAACTTCAGTTTCAGTGTCAAACTGTAAGAAAGGGTACTATGGGGTAAAAGAAATCACACCAAACAAATGGTGTTCCTTCTGGTATCTCATATTGTAGGAAAAACGTAGTTGTGGTTGTTACAACAGGAGGAAGCCAAGCTCTACAAAAGTGGTGAGCCCTCCTTTGCCCTGCAGGTTCAGAAGTGGGTCAATACATGCAAAGTGGCACCCATGGCCAAGTGGTTATCCGAACAGAAAAGGGATTAAGAGGTTGTGGGTTCAATTCCTGGCAAGATATTATGTCCTTGGGAAAGGCTCCTTTACTTGATTTTCCTCCCTACATCAAGGTGTGAATGGGCACCTAACTGGAAGAGCACAAGACAGACAGTGGAACCTAGGAGAGGGATGGGCTTGACCTTCCAATCCAATACCATACCCACGACACAGTGGACACAACCCACTGCCATCTACTGCCTCAAAAAGGCTTTACCTTTTTTACCAAGCCCAGCAGGTTCGGAAGTGGGTCAGGCCAGTGCAGGCCCCGCTATCCTGCACTGGCCAGGCACTAAGGCAGGCCACAGGAATCAATAACCAGCAGGGCAAGCGCACCAATCCCAGCATTCACCAAACTGTCCACTGGCCAAACTGTCAGCTCGGATTCAATTATCGTGGCAACGGGTATTGAGCCAGTGGCTGGGGGCGATCGTTACCGGAACATTTACGATACGACCTCGAGAATTTGGAAGGACAATGTCAACACAGGTTCTAATCAATGTCAAGGTAATATGTATTGCTTGA